ACACACACACACACACACACACACACACACACACACACACACACACACACACACACACACACACACACACACACACACACACACACACATTCGAAGGCGTCAGCGTTCATACTGCTCGTGAGCGGGAGTTGCTCTTCCTATCGATGCTGCAAGGTGGAGTGTTGTGCGCCCGACACGTATCATCGGTGGAGTGCTGTTCGCCCGACACGTGTCACCGATTCGATTGATTGGCGGCTTGGACCAAAAATTATGCTTGACCTTCAATCCTCTTCCTTCAATCGTACCACGCCTCTCTCTCCTCTTCCTTCAATCGACCACACCTCTCTCTCCTCTTCCTTCAATCGTACCACGCCTCTCTCTCCTCTTCGATGAGCATACGACCTCCTATTTAACTACCGTGATGTCGCACCTCCTCCTCAATCTTGCCTAACATATCTCCCGTCATCATGGCTCTGATTCCCCACCTCCCTCATGCATATAGAGAGAAAGGTCATCATCGTGGGCACTTGTTGACCAAAGGCCTCACCACACATGCACGAAGAAGAAGAAGAAGAAGAAGACTTGTTGTGAGAGATGGTGGGCAGCGCGGAGTGGACTCGAGGTGGGAGGGAATTCTAGTGGGCCAGCGCCCACTGTCTCAGGGCGGAATTGGAAGATCGAACGTGAGAGCGCCAACGTTGGAATGGGCCAGCGCCCGCGCGGTTCCATGAGGGCATTCGAATCGCACGGGCAACTCTTTCAAAATACGCCTGAATCTGGGCCGCCAATCGGGAAGATCCAAGGGCCCAGATTCGAGCGCCTTGGACTACTTTCTCGCGCCCCGAAAAAAAAAAGGTGGGGCCTGGCGGCGGGCCAAACACCTCGGGAGAACGCTAGGACCCCCAAAACGGTCAGCTTAGGCCTTTTTTTTTTTTTTTTTTTTGCGCATCTGTTTCATGGGACCCCGCACGGGATACCCGCCCGGCCGGTCAACCGGGCAGCTGTCCGGGCAGGATACTTCCAGCCGGGTGCCCGGAAAAACAACCTAGTTTTTTTTTTTTTTTTCGTTTATATTTTCGATTTAAAAAACAAAAACAGAAAAACTTAAAAAAATAAAATAAAAAATACAAGGTTATAGATCTCGAAAAGATCTACAACCCTATTTTTTTTTATTTTTTTTTTCTTATTTTTTTCTCGGGGAACAAAATACTCCCCCGCCCGCTCAAACCCCGCTCAAGCGTTTTTGAGCGCGGGATTGAGCGGAGCTCAAAACATTGAGCTCTGACCCCGCGCTCAATCAGCGTGCGGTTTTACAGGCCTCGTGGCCGCGGCCGCGGGCCGCGGTCGTGCCGTGGCGACCGCGGCCACGGGGGATTCACAGACGTCATGTCACGTAGGCAATGCGCCACGTCAACTGTCCCAAATTCTCCCAATCTCACACTTCTCTCTGTTGATCAGTGCCACGTCAGCCTGTTGCCCACGAAGCTCTCGCCGATATCTCAAAAACTTCAATGTAGCCACGTCATCACCTTCAAGGGAGGCTGCACACATGTGCGGTACTCAATGTCTAGACTTGGGGTATTAACTGCGCGCGTTCATAAACGCGTTTCGTTCCTGGACGTGCGACACCTCCCACTTACCTGAGTGCCACGTCAGCACCTGACAACAGATTGTGATGAAGGAGTTTGATGTGATACCAAAGTGCAATGAACCCCGGACTAGAAGATACACGTCAGACGTCAATGTATAGGTAGACTCAAATCTGCACAATATCTCCAGTTAACGTGAATTCAAAGTGATATTTGATACAGTATCTACTATCTCGTTACCAATAGACAAAGAGAGTAGAGGGGAAAATAGACAGAGGAGAGGGTGGAAGAGATAATCAGTGATCACTCAAGAGCAGCACAATCAATTCCCACTCCTTCTTCGGGCTTCCTATCCCTCCACGTCATCAATTAATAAACAATAACAAGTCTGATAAGTCCTGATCACACAGAAGTGTCACGCGGAACTATTCTCCCATGGAGACAATGGAGATAATCAGTAGTGTACAATATCGATGTCAGCCTCAAGTAACTTGAAGTATCCTGTCCCTCAATCATCCACAGATCCCGATCTCCCTCCTTATTGCAACCAGTCACCTCATGTACACAGCGTGGACAGTGCTACGACAGCAGAAGAGACAGGTGGAATGCGCCACATCAACAAATTGACAACAATAAAGACAAGTGGCAGCGCCACATCAGCAATGCAATGTAGACAGTGGTAGCGCAACATCTGCAATGTAAACAAGTGGTAGCGCCACATCAGCAATGTAGACAAGTGACATGCTTCATATCAGCAATGTAGACAAGTGACATGCGCCACATCAGCAATGCCCGATGCACAAAAGAGAAGGCGCCAACATGTTGCCACAGTCCCGCATTGTCATCCGCAGTACTAGCACATAGTCAACGTCAAGCTAGCGTCCAGCCAGCATCGAACTAGAGTCAAGCCAGCGACCTGCCAGAATCAAGCCAGCGTCGAGGCAGCATAGCAAGATTGAATGTTGACCACCTGGAGACATGTCAAGCCCTATGTAGTATTTGACGAGGCTGTCAGACCTTAGGTTTCCTTCCCATAGTCGTACAGTTTAACTCACAGCTGAGGGTCTGGATTGTATATAGTTGCAGACTTTCCTTTGGTCCTGATGTTGTCTGGGTACCTGCATACAAACAAGTTTGTGTGTCTGACCGGCGGTTTGGGCTGGGTACACTTTGACTTTGACTGTTGGATGTCCGACAATTGACTATAGTCAATTGTCACTCGTCCAGGCCCTGAATCTCTACGTGGGGTTCTTTTCCCCCTTTGGCCTGGGTCTAAGTGCGGCCTGCGAGGCCGTTAGACTTTTCCATGAGGCATAATACATGGGTTATTGCAATCCTTATACGACATTAGACGGTGCCACATGGAAACAGACCCTTGGGATCCCCATGGGGCTAAGCTGCTCACCCATGTGGTGCAATATCTAATTCTTTCACTATGAATACAAGTGGATCCCCATGGGGCTAAGCTGCTCACCCATGTGGTGCAATATCTAATTCTTTCACTATGAATACAAGTTTATGAAAAAATTACGATTGAACCCCAACATACATCTACTCCCACTATTCCTGCACAACGTCAGATACTTTGACGACCAAAACTGGATTAACAATCCCAGAATAAGGGAATTCATCAACCAATCAATTAAAAGTAAAATAAATAAATATTGCCTATACGGTTATACCCACTCAATTTTGTCACACTCAACGAACAAACAACAGAAATAGACGGATAACGTGATCATCGGAACTACATGCAAATTCCTTAATACAACAGTCACCATCACTGACCATACAACAAGATTATACGTTACCAAAAAATACGACAAAAAAAAACCCTCAATTTTGTCATCAACTGATTCCTGAGGTTTAACTCAAACAGACCAGTCTTGCAATCTCTCAAAATTCTCATTCCACAAACAATAAACATTATGACCGCTACAACTCAATGAAACCACGCGTTCATTGAACGCGGGTTTTGCGTTCAGAAATTGAATGCTTGAACGCGCGTTCTCAACCTGAACGGGTTTGCGGGTATAAAGAAACAGAAAATAAACAACGAAAAAAAAAAAAAAAGGGAAAAAAAAAATTACTTGCATTTGTGTGTGTTGTCATATTCGCTGTACACTTAAAAAAAAACATGATTGTGCCAGACTGTTTCGGCGGACTTTCATCGAGTCTGTGTGTGTGTGTGTGTGTGTGTGTGTGTGCGCGCATGTGTGCGTGTGTGTGTGTGTGTGTGCGTGTGTGTGTAGAAGAGCAAGCTCCTGTGTGTGTATGTTCGTGCGCACTAGCGCGCAGTTCACACACACACACACACACCCGCATGAACACACATACACACACACAAGTTTTTTTTTTTTTTTTTGGCCCGCCACGACTTCATCTGCCTCCTCATCTTCTTCTTCTTCGCCATCCTCCCTCTTCTTCTTCTTCATTGTCCTTCTCCTCCTCCTCCTCCTCCTCTAAGAATGTGCCACGTGGTACTTGCTGTTTTTTTTTTTTTTTGTGAACCCGCCATACCTGCCATGAGTCACCTCTCCTCCTCATCATCATCATCTTCTTCTTCCTTGTCCTCCTCATCCTCCTCGTCCTCCTCTTTTTCTTCCTCGTCCTCCTCTTCCACCACATCTTTCTCCTCCTCCAATCGACGCTGCTCCCCCATTGCCGCTGCTGGCCCAAAACCCACCGCCGCTGCCTATGACGTCGCTAGCGCTGGCCCCAACGGCGCCGCTGCTGCCCCCTACACTGTGGCCAATGCTGATCCCCCCTTTGCCACCGCTGCAGGTTTTTTTTTTGTTTTCTTTTCTTTGTATTTGTTTTCCAACCAGCCAATCAAT